CTCTAGAAAGGACCCATTCTTGGCAACAAAGATCTTGCCTTCGGATCTGAGATAGAAGGTATACCCAATGGTTTCCTTAGGGTATCCTATGAAGACGCATTTTTCCGACTTGGGTTCAAGCTTTTCAGGTTGAAGTTTCTTGACATAAGCATCGCATCCCTAAACTTTTAGAAACGACAGCTTAGGTTTCTTCCCAAACCATAATTCATACGGTGTCGTCTCAACGGATTTAGACGGTGCCCTATTTAAAGTGAATGTAGCTGTCTCTAGAGCATCTCCCCAAAATGATAGCGGTAAATCGGTAAGAGACATCATAGACCGCACCATATCCAATAAAGTGCGATTACGATGTTCGGACACACCGTTACGCTGAGGTGTTCCAGGCGGCGTGAGTTGTGAAACAATTCCACATTTCTTTAAGTGCGTATCAAATTCATGACTTAAATATTCTCCTCCACGATCTGATCGTAAGAACTTTATTTTTCGGTCACGTTGATTCTCTACCTCATTCTGAAATTCCTTGAACTTTTCAAAGATCTCAGACTTGTGTTTCATCAAGTAAACATACCCATATCTACTTAAGTCATCAGTGAGGGTGAGAACATAACGATAGCCACCGCGAGCCTCAACGCTCATTGGACCGCACACATCAGTATGTATAATTTCCAATAAGTTGGTTGCTCGCTCCATTGTTCTGGAGAACGGAGTCTTGGTCATTTTACCCATGAGGCATGGTTCGCACGTGTCAAATGATTCAAAATCAAGAGACTCCAAAAGTCCATCTGTATGGAGCTTCTTCATGCATTTGACACTAATGTGACCAAGGCGGCAGTGCCACAGATATGTGGGACTATCATTATCAATCTTACATCTTTTGGTATTCACACTATGAATATGTGTAACATCACGTTCGAGATTCATTAGGAATAAACCATTGACCAGCGGGGCCTGACCATAAAACATATCTTTCATATAAATAGAACAACCATTATTCTCAGATTTAAATGAGTAGCCATCTCGTATTAAACAAGATCGAGATACAATGTTCATGCTCAAAGTTGGCACTAAATAACAATTATCGAGGTTTAAAACTAACCCCGTAGGTAAATGTACAGGTAGCGTGCCGACGGCGATCACATCGACCTTGGAACCATTCCCAACGCGCATCGTCACCTCATCCTTCGCCAGTCTCCGCTTATTCCGCAACTCCTGTTTTGAGTTACAAATATGAGCAACCGCACTGGTATCAAATATCCAGGAGCTACTACGAGTACTGGTAAGGTACACATCAATTACATGTATATCACATATACCTTTAGTGTTGCCGGCCTTCTTGTCCGCTAAGTATTTGGGGCAGTTCCGCTTCCAGTGACCCTTTCCTTTGCAATAAAAGCACTCAGTCTCAGGCTTGGGTCCATTCTTTGGCTTCTTCCCGGCAACTGGCTTACCGGGCGCGGCAACTCCCTTGCCGTCCTTCTTGAAGTTCTTCTTACCCTTGCCTTTTCTTGAAACTAGTGGTTTTATTGACCATCAACACTTGATGTTCCTTTTTTATTTTCACCTCCGCTGATTTCAGCATTGAAAATACCTCAGGAATAGATTTCACCATCCCCTGCATATTGTAGTTCATCACAAAGCTCTTGTAGCTAGGTGGGAGCGACTGAAGGATTCTGTCAATGACCGCCTCGTCCGGGAGGTTAATGTCCAGCTGGGACAAGCGGTTGCGCAACCCAGACATTTTGAGTATGTGCTCACTGACAGAACTATTTTCCTTCATCTTACAACTGTAGAACTTGTCGGAGACTTCATATCTCTCGACCCGAGCATGAGCTTGGAAAACCATTTTCAGCTCTTCGAACATCTCATATGCTCCGTGTTGCTCAAAACGCTTTTGGAGCCCCAGTTCTAAGCTGTAAAGCATGCCGCACTGAATGAGGGAGTAATCATCAGCACGTGACTGCCAAGCATTCATAACGTCTTGGTTCTCTGGGATGGGTGCTTCACCAAACGGTGCTTCTAGGACATATGCTTTCTTGGCAGCTATGAGGATGATCCTCAGGTTCTGAACCCAGTCCGTATATTTGCTGCCATCATCTTTGAGCTTGGTTTTCTCTAGGAACGCGTTGAAGTTGGGGTTGACATGAGCGTTGGCCATTTGATCTACAAGACATTTTGCAAAGGTTTTTAGACTAAGTTCATGATAATTAAGTTCATCTAATTAAATTATTTAATGAACTCCCACTCAGATTAGACATCCCTCTAGTCATCTAAGTGATACATGATCCGAGTTAACTAGGCCGTGTCCGATCATCACGTGAGACGGACTAGTCATCATTGGTGAACATCTCCATGTTGATCGTATCTTCCATACGACTCATGTTCGACCTTTCGGTCTCTAGTGTTCCGAGGCCATGTCTATACATGCTAGGCTCGTCAAGTCAACCTAAGTGTTTTGCATGTGTAAATCCGTCTTACACCCGTTGTATGTGGACGTTGGAATCTATCACACCCGATCATCACGTAGTGCTTCGAAACAACGAACTTTCGCAACGGTGCACAGTTAGGGGGAACACTTTCTTGAAATTATTATGATGGATCATCTTATTTACTACCGTCGTTCTAAGCAAATAAGATGCAAAAACATGATAAACATCACATGCAATTAAATAGTGACATGATATGGCCAATATCATATTGCTCCTTTGATCTCCATCTTCGGGGCGCCATGATCATCTTCGTCACCGGCATGACACCATGATCTCCATCATCATGATCTCCATCATCGTGTCTCCATGAAGTTGTTCGCCAACTATTACTTCTACTACTATGGCTAACGGTTTAGCAATAAAGTAAAGTAATTACATGGCGTTTATTCATTGACACACAGGTCATACAATAATTAAGACAACTCCTATGACTCCTACCGGTTGTCATACTCATCGACATGCAAGTCGTGATTCCTATTATAAGAACATGATCAATCTCATACATCACATATATATCATTCATCACAACTTTTTGGCCATATCACATCACAAGGCATATGCTGCAAAAACAAGTTAGACGTCCTCTAATTGTTGTTGCATATTTTTACGTGGATGCAATAGGGTTCTAGCAAGAACATTTCTTACCTACGTCAACACCACAACGTGATATGCCAATTTCTATTTACCCTTCATAAGGACCCTTTTCATCGAATCCGATCCCACTAAAGTGGGAGAGACAGACACCCGCTAGCCACCTTATGCAACTAGTGCATGTTAGTCGGTGGAACCTGTCTCACGTAAGCGTACGTGTAAGGTCGGTCCGGGCCGCTTCAAACCACGATGCCGCCGAAAGAAGATAAGACTAGTAGTGGCAAGAAAATTGACAGCATCTACGCCCACAACAAATTTGTGTTCTACTCGTGCATAGAAACTACATATAGACCTATCTCATGATGCCACTGTTGGGAAACGTTGCAGAAAATAAAAAATTTCTACGCTTCACCAAGATCAATCTATGGAGTCATCTAGCAAGTGTCATGGTTATCACCATCTTTCCTTTTTACACTTTTCCTTTGGCAAACAATTTGTGTTGGAGCGATCCGGATATATATATATATATATATATATATATATATATATATATATATATATATATATATATATCCATTTGGATGTAGGTTTCATAAATTATTATTGTTGACATTACCCTTGCGGTAAAAGGTTGGGAGGCGAAACTATAAGCTTCTATTTTTCCCTATGTCCGATTAAAACTTTGAATCCATAAATATCACGTGAGTGTTAGCAATTGTGAAAGATTAAATGATAGTTAAGTATGTGGAGTTTGCTAAATCAAAGCTCCGAAATAGACCCTTCCTGAAAATAAGATGAATTGCAATTGTTTGATGACTGAGAATATAGTTTATTAGTTTCAAGAAAGTTTATGATTTATACTTTAACATCTGAATAGCTTGTTACTTGATTATGAAAAGTTTTATGAGAGGAGCTACTGTAGGGGAGAGAGGGCGGAGGAGGCCTTTGGGCCGGTGGAGGCAGATCGCCCCCCGTGTCGCCTAGGTTAGGCGACGCGGGGCAGGGGGCTGAGTCCGTGTCGTATCTTGGGCGCAAAGTACTGCACCCGGATGAGTCTATATTCTCCCCTGGCCTGGTGGCCTTCCCCTTCCCCTTTCTTCCTCCTCTGACTCTCCTCCCCCTCCTTTCCCCACCCGTACCACCGCCGAGCCGACTCCAACTCCGGCCGCCCCGCCTCACAAGCACCACCATGGGTAAGTAACTACTTTCTATTCTTCTCCTCCCCCTAGGTAGGAACGGTCTGCGTGCTGCTACTGCAGTCTCTTCTGCTTTCCCTACATCTGAGAACCAGCCCCGGCAGGTTCAGCTAGCGAGTGGAAATTGAAATGCCACGGTTAAATTGTACTTTTGACCCCGCACTGCAGATTCACTAATTGAACCGCAGATTCTATCTCGTAGATTGTTTTTACCTTAATCCTATGGAAATTAGTCCATCTAAGCTACTCCCTAATCCCTATGGAAATTTGTACTTTTAACCCTGCACTGCAGATTGAGAATAACTAATTAATCTGCTGATTTATTTATTTAGTTAAGAGTTCAGGGAGTTCAGATCTGTAGTGCCAGATGTCCTTAGAATGAAACTGCTAGATCTGCTACTACCTAGCTAAGGCTGCTTAGGGATGGTACCCTCGCCCGGCTCGTCACCGACGGAGAGGAGTTGGACAGTGCTGGTTCCTGGTGGAGATTTCGGGCTGGTCCCCCAAGAACTTGATCTCACCTATGGCACTAAGTCCATAGTAAAACTGTCACTGAGGGTCAGAATGCTAGGACCATGCCCTGTTAAACTATTTCTTCTCACGCCGATTTTGTTTTCCTTGCCATCATCGAAAATTTGTTCTCTTGTATTTAAATCTACATGAATCATTATTTTTAACACATTTTTCTTTTGTGTATGTATAGAAGGTCCAAGCTAGTTGACATAACATGACTGCAGAGAGTTATTATATACCGTTACATGTCTTAAAAGAGATTACAAATGGATTCTCAGCGGACTCAAGAATAGGAAGGGGTGGATACGGAGACGTTTACAAGGTATGGCTTATTTACTTGAAATTTTGTGTTTCAACAAATATATCAGAACTAACAACAAATGACCCAGTTATAAACAAATATTTATGTATAATGTTTATGTCAAGCAGGGAGTTTACAATAGGAGAGAGGTTGCTGTAAAGTTGCTTCATGTTGATACGTTGCTAGGACTTGATGACCAACGATATATCAATGAAGTTGGTAACCTTTTGAAGGTTAAGCATCCAAATATCATACAGTTACTTGGTTATTGTTATGAAATACAGAATGAACTAATTGAACACAATGGTGCAAATCAATTTAGCCAACACATATATAGAGTCCTCTGCTTTGAGTACTTGCAGGGTGGAAGCCTAGACAAGCATCTTTGTGGTATGAGAACTTAACTTCAACAAGATGATTTTCTTATGCGTTTAAGAAAAACTGAATTCGTAAACTTTCATTTGTGTAATATTCTCTTTGTCAGCACAATCTTTTGCACCTAATTGGAGCACACGTTACAATATTATAAAGGGGATTTGTGAAGGTTTAAATTTCCTTCATGAATGCAAACCACAAATTTGTCATCTTGATTTGAAGCCTGCCAATATATTACTAGACAGTTCCATGGAGCCTAAAGTGGCGGATTTTGGATTGTCAAGGCTATTCACTCCATCACACACACATATCACAGAAAGAATCATAGGAACCCGGTAAGTAGCCCGTGAAATACCTCATTTTGATTTTTTTTCTTTTCTAATCGAATAAATGGAATGCACACTCAGTGGCAGAGCTTGGGCTGAATTCCCCGGGGGTGGGGGGTGGGGGTTTCTTCTGGGCTGCAGGTGGCAGCACATTTCGCCCTAAGGAAGCTCCACCAGTGTCTACACTGACCGTGTCCTTGGTGTTACGCAGGAAGTACATGCCACCAGAATTCCTAAATGAAGGCAAAATCTCACCTAAGAATGACGTCTTCGGTTTCGGTGTTGTAATGATCGAGATAATGGCAGGACCTGCAGGTTACTCCAATTCTTTTGAAATGCATGATGTGGCACAATTAATGCAGCAGGTAAGAAAAAATATTGTCAGTTTTGGCACTTGAGTTCATATAACAAACCAGCATATCATGGGTATGTTTGATGTCTATACTTTATGCATTATATTGTCCAACCAATGAGTTAATAACTTATTTGTTTAGTTATAACAAAAATTTATAAGCTAGATATACAAAGCTGTTTCTTTTATTGTTTTCGAAAAGGGAAAACGTTAGGTCCACCTGTGCAATAACAACCGGCACTGGATATCCACTTTATTTATACGGAACCCATATGCAACTTGCTTCATGCAACAAAGATGGTAAGCACATATCTATCCCCTTTTTTATTTTTCTTCCAATTGACAAGATCCTTTCGATCGGCATTTTTGAGCAAGTACAAGGTAACCCTTCGCATTATAACATTTTTCTGTTAGATGCATCCAGTATTCTCTAGCTAAACTAGTTATATGGAATGTCATATGTGACGCTTCTGGACAAGAATATAGCTTATATATGGGAGCGTCTTGACGCTTTTGACCTAGTACCCATAGAGAGAAATCCCCCTGCACAATATATACCCGTACATCATACTTTTGTATTGCCCACCTCAAATTATATTTCTGTGTTTCGGTTTTGTAGGTACTTACCAATTGTACAATGATTGAAGCCACATCGAATAACCGATCAGAGGAATTACGTCAGGTGAAAACGTGTATTGAATTAGCAATGCGTTGTGTGGATTCTGAAAGAGACAATAGGCCCTCTGTAGCAGATATCCTAGATACCCTGAATAAGACAGAAACTCATATTCCCAAGAGACAGGTATTATCTGCGTACTTGATGCAAACGAAACGCAAGCTAGAGCACTTATTTACAATTGGCATAAGACAGTTGTTTCTGCACATGGGCTAGCTGTTGTACAGTTTGCAAATCCTTGTCCTTTCCCAGTCATTTTGTTTTTCAGATGCAAAACTTACTCTCTGTATCTTTTTGCTTCCTCGCTCTTTAATCCTTGTGGAAGAAATTTCATTTTAGTTTCGTCTAATTCCAGGAACGTAAAAATTAGAGTGCGGAAGTTCAAAATCGTGCCTTGCAGCGCGAGAGCGACTGTGGCATCAAACTTCTATGAGGCACCTGACGGGCTCAGAGGATAGGGTGATCGGAACAAGGAGGCTGCTGGAAATAATCCAAAGTTGCGTAGCTAAAGTTGAGTCAGAAAACGTGAGGTTTCCATATTTTGTTTGGCTTGGATGCCATATGTTAGTTTTAGCTACGCCATAGTTGCACGTGGCTTTGATTGTGTATAAGGAGTACTAATCCGTGATGGATTAGCAAACCTTGTTGATCATTGAGTCATTGTAACTTGGTTGCTATAAACAAAGGAGTGGCCCATGTAATAGCAACAGGGCTGGAAAAGAAATCAGCCGTGTCTGTGCGTTGTGTTTTGCCCATGATCTTCCACCAAGTTCAATCTAGTTGCCGTAGCATGGTCAATCCGTGGGCTAAAACCAACATGGGCGGATCTGTCCTTGGGGCACTCTGTTGCATTCAGTTGAGAACTTAATTGAATCGGTGAAGGTGGTGAGTCTCAGCAGGCAAGTCTATGTGAAGGTGGTGTTGAGACAGCAAAGATAGCCATTCTAGTATGTCACATTTTTAATTCAGGAAATGCTGCCTTTTCTCTAAGGTGCACGTCATTTTCACCTGGCATATAGTATAGCTTTTTCCTGCTGGTTTTCACGTTTTGTGAAGAGCACTTTAATCAAAACCTTCTATATAACTTAGCTTACTGAATAAAAGCATATCTATCCGGATCTTGATCATGATAATTCGTCTGATCTTTCCATGTACTTACACATTAAAAGTTTGACTAGACAGAGTGTTTTTCCTGAAGGTTTGCCAAGAGTCCAATGGAACAAAGATGGATGTGATTTTTGATTCTGGACTTCGAATTTGGAAATGGGCCATGCTGGTGTATGTAGTATTGATTAGCTAACGATTAATACTTCCCCTCACGGTTCCCCTCAAAATAGAAATAAAAATAAGGATTAGTTTATGTAAAAAGGTTGACAATTGATATCAAAGGGCGAAATTACCCTTTTTTTCCTTTTTTTTTCCGGTGGTGTACTGAAGCACACCCTTGGTCTGTTTGATTTCTAAGTACTAATCGTATGTCCTATCTTATTCACAGGAAAGTTAAATTGTGTTTCATTACTTTAAACGTCAAGATGTACTAAAATCAAATTTATTGCCTTGCAGCATTGCCCTCAAATCAGTGTTCCCGGGCTGGAGAGGGCCAAGAAGAGGAAGAAGACGGGAGGGAACTTGAAGGGGATTGCAGAAGAACGTACCCATTTCACTGTCATGCAAGAAAATGCCCCTAGTATGCTTGAAAACAGGGATCACCGGGAAACATCAGCAAAGATAGGAGCAGAAGTCGTAGGGAGGGACATGGAAAAACAGGAAATTATGGCTCATTTATCTGGGAGTACCACACAAGAGATCACCTTCCTTCCGATATATGGTATTGGAGGCATTGGGAAGACAACCATGGCACAATTTGTTTTCAATGATTCCCAGTTCAAAGAGTACTCTCGGGTTTGGACCTATGTGTCCCAGACATTTGATTTAAAGAAAATTGGGAATTCTATAATAACACAACTATCCGGTAGCAAGAGTATGCATACTGACCTTCAGATGATAGAAAATAGCCTGCAAAAGCTCCTTTCTGGTAAGAGGGTTCTAATCATCTTAGATGACCTGTGGGAGAGGGAATCACCTCAGTTAAAAAAGTTGGAGAGTATGCTAAATCTGGGTGAAGGGGGCAAATTGGTGGTGGTAGTAACCACACGAGAAGAATCTATTGCACATAAAATTCACACTGGCAGAGTGAAGCCATATAAGCTAGCTCCCTTAACAGATGAAATTTGTTGGACTATCATAAAAAATAAAAGTTCATTTGAAAACAGAGCTGAAAGAGCGCAGTTAGAGTTGATCGGAAAGGAAATTGCAAAGAAGTGTGGAGGTGTGGCTTTAGCAGCCCAATCTATTGGGTATGTGTTGTATGCTATGGAATTTGATGAATGGGTGTCGGTGAACAACAGTGAGATCTGGGACGTGCTTGCCTCAGGAGAATCAACTCATCATGTTCATGCATCCTTGCTGCTAAGCTATCACATTATGGATAAATACTTGAAGTTATGCTTTGCTTATTGTGCAACCTTTCCAAAAGGTCACAAGATAGCTAAAGAAGATCTAGCTCACCAATGGGTTGCTCTTGGACTTGTTGAGCCATCAAGGACATTCTCTAATATACAAACCAGTCATAAATATATTCGTCATCTTTTTGGCATGTGCTTCCTTGAACATCCAAGGTCACAATGGGTGAGTTACCACAGTGATGAATACGTTAGGCAGCTTTTAGACATGTCCTTCGTTTTAACATCTCTTTTTTTGCGGGTACTTCGTTTGAACATCTTAAGTCACAATTAATGGGTTACTTACTGCATACCTTTGTGGGGATATTCTTTTGTTTTCTTCAACTTATGCAGATCATATGGTGCATATTCTCGTAGCAATGTTGACAATACCATTACATTGTGTTGGAATAATCTTATTACATAAAATTGGAGCCCTCCAACATACTACTTCTCTTCTCAAACTACTGATATTCAGCAAATTGGCACATCATTGATACCTAATGTTTTACTAATGTGGCTGTTAGAACTGTCAATCATGTAGTTGAAATATAATATATGAAACTTGACTGCATAATCCTCTACTATTATTATTATTTCAAAAATTACAAGCCAAATGTTCACATGTTTATGTCATCGAGGGACCGGCTTTGCCTTTGTCATAGCTCTGGTTGTGCCTCTTGTCGGCTTCGCAGTTAAGAAGTTTACTTGTCAGGTAGGGGCCTTGAGATTAGTCGGTTATTTGAGAAAATATAGAAAGCATTGTGAACTGCCTTAGGTGTGGATTTACCGCGCTCTAGAGCAGAAAATCCATCTCTTCTACTCCCTCCATTCTCATTATATTTTTAGACTTCACGTATACATGTTTTTTTAGTTACCTTTTTTGTTTAGTTGTTAATGAAATCTGTTAAATACGTAATAACATGAAGGCTGTTTCAAATTCTGAAGTCTGATACTGTGTATACTATTAATGCAGAGTTATATGGATGTCGATAATGGATTCTTGATCATGCATGACCTGGTGCACGATCTCGGAAGATCATTTCTGGCTGATAAAATTATTATAGAGAGTCCTGCCTGCCAATATGCATGGCTGACAGATCATAGAAAGCTATTTAAGTCATCAATGAATCCACTCGCCAAGCTATTTATGTCATCAATGAATCCACTCGCCAAGCTATTTAAGTCATCAATGACTCCACTCGCCAAGATAAGGGCACTGCATTTTCTCGACCGTGCTTACTTGCAGCTTAATGGTGAAGCTTTTTCACCGGCTAAATGCCTCCTTGTCTTGGATTTAAGCAGATGTTGTGCACAAAAGCTGCCTGATTCTATTGGTCAACTGAAACAGTTGAGGTATCTCGATGCTTCATGGAACCCCGAGTTTACTGAATCTTCTGAATACCAAGCACCACCGGAGTCTTTATTGATACCGAAAGCCCTGGGTTCCCTTAATGAACTCCAATATTTGAATTTATCAGGTCGCGGAAGACCCATAGGGCTGCCAGAGGTCATCAGCGAACTCACGGACCTCCGGTATTTGAATATATCACATTGCATGGGTTATTATTTATTGGACATCCCATCAGCAAACCAAAGTTTCATTGACTGTATCGGTACCCTTCCTAATCTAGAGCAGCTGGACATGTCTTCTAATAACTATGGTTTCTGTGTACCTGAAAGTTTCAGCAGACTCAAGAAGCTGAACCTCTCCGACTGCCAGTACATTGCTAGCCTTCCAGAAAATGTGGGGAAAGTGGATATTCCAATGCTTTTTGGCTTGTTGTTCCCGCAAAAGGGAGGGTTTCCTGTGCGTGTGGTTGATAGTGAATCTAGCAGCAGTCTTGTCTGGCTTAAGCATACAAATCCTGATGTGTTGGGTATCACTGATACTTGAAAATGTGAGGTCCGTGGAAGAGGCACGCAGTATAAGATTGATAGAAAAACAGAGAATTAAAGAATTGTCGTTGCAGTGGAGCGGAGGTGTGAGTTCTGTGGAACACATGGAGTTGCTAACAGAGCTAGTGCCACCAAGCTCTGTAAAGAATTTCAAGATAACACGTTACAAGGATGTCATGTTTCCACACTGGTTTATGCATATAAACAAAGATCTTCCTAATCTTGTGAGTTTGGAGATGTGGGGTGTTCTTTGCCGCAGCCTACCAACAACACTCGTCCCACTACCCAACCTAAGAAAGATTGTTCTCAGCAACATGCATAACCTGGAAGAGTTCAACACAGCATGCTCTATAGGCGAGGATGGTGCAAATGAGCTCACGTTGGCTAAACTTGAGTATCTGGAAATAGACAATTGCCCCAAGTTGAGGATTAAACCGTGTCCGCCTAGATCAGTGTACTGGCGTATATCTCGTGCTGACAATGTGCTATTGTCATGGGGAGAGTGTGCCTCAAGCACAGCTGCTTCCTCCTCATCTTCTTCTGTGAGTAAGCTAGAAGTTGAATACTCTGAGTTGCCTTTGCACCAGTGGAGATTGCTTCACCACCTACATGGTCTTAGTGATTTAACTATCTCCGATTGCAATGATCTGACCATCTCACCACAGATCACCCGAGCGTTCACCTCCCTCGAATCACTGGAATTTCGTAGCCTGGAAAAATTACCAGAGTGGTTAGGGGAGCTCACATCTCTTCGGCAGCTTAACTTAATATTCATCCACCACCTACAGGAATTGCATGAGAACACGAGGCAGCTTAGACAGCTGCAATCGCTCCGCCTGCACTTTTGCAATACGTCGACATCACCACCGCAATGGTTAGGAGAACTCACCTTGCTCAAGACACTTAAAATCACTTATTGCAAGGGCATCATTTCTTTACCGGAGCGCATACTCACCAACCTCCAAGAACTTTATATTTCGAACTGCCCTGAATTATATAGATGGTGTAAGTTAGAAGAGAACCGGATGAAACTAGCTCACATCAAGGAAAAGGTATATGTCTTAAATCGCTCGTATGTTTTAGTGACTAGTTTTGTATAAAATTTATCATATTTCACTTGTACATTGCCTGGTAAGTGTTGTTTGTTGTCTAATCTTGCCTTCTAATCAAAGGATGATAAATGCAGCAAAGTTAACTCGGAGGTAAACTGGATTAGCTCTGTTAGACAACATGGTATTTGACAAAAAAATACTTTATATACTTGCAGTCTATCTAGGAACATTCGGCTCGAGGCATTTGGGAAACACTTTAATGAGATGATAAGTATGATTTAGCATCTCCTGTATGCGATCCAGATGGATATTGACGATCGAGGATGGTGGTCCTTGGAGCTCTTCTGACGCCCCAGGTGGAGACCTTCACTTAGAATTACAGCGCTTTGATGATCTTCAATTGCATGTTTTGTTGCCTTTTATTTCCATGTGTTTTTATTTACTTCGGGCACCGATTGTTTGAATACTTTACTTTATTTCCCCTTTCGTATTGCGTGGCTAAATAACTTTTGCGTTGTGGGGCTAAATCACCCTCTAATAATTTCATGATTGTGTGCATCACGAGGAATGTGGTAGCACCCAAACAGGTTGTAGCAATATAACTGTTCTTTACATACTATGCTTTGGCGGCGCCGCTGTTGGGGCAGCCTCCATGTTTTGCGATTAGCAGCAAATTCAGTGCATATAGGTGTCCCTCCAGCTAAGATGGGCATAGGTTTCAAGTCCATTGTTCTGTCCCGGACCATGAGGTTGCTATCATCGATCTTCCTCCATCAAGAGGAGGCCAAGAGGGTGAATGCCGAGATACCGTGTTTTAGATCTGTGTGTCTTGCCCTTGCTGAAACACGAATAAATGTCAGAGATAGGTATAGCCATTTGTTTGACTTGATCAGCAATAAAAATGTCAGAACTAGTTCTTGAACAGACTGTTCAGAGATCTTTGTTACAATATTGAAGAAAAATGCTAGTGTAACTTAATGACACGTATATCCTTATCGAACAACAGTAACCCCTTGGTATTGTCTTCGTGAATGTTATACCGAGCATTTTTTTTTTCTTTCAAATGTTGGCGGGATAGCTGCCTAGTGGTGGGAAGGTGCTGATGCCTTTCCACCCACCCAGGTTCAAGGCGTGATACTTGCAATTTAGGTTTGTTGCATTAATTATACTGTAGGGGTTCTCTTGCAACTTTACAAGTCTTTCTGTCAAAAAAAAAATCATTCATCAGACAAAGGTATTACAAGTAACACCCCTAAAAGAGTAGAGGTATTATAAGTAACACCCCTAAAAGAGGAATGCAGCGCATAAGACGAGTGCTAAAAAAGAAGAACGAAAGGGTTGCTTAGTTTATCTAGGAAAACCAAGCGAAAACCTAAAGCAGCGCCAAACAAGGCTAGGCTAGAAGCACCACAATACATACAACACGCCAGAAAGGCAAATACCCAACAACACGCCCGATCAGGCACTTGAGCGCCTTCGCTGCTATCAAAGCACACACTGAAAACCGTCATGTCAATCCAGGCTGCCACAAGCATATCCACGAAACTCGACGACATAAAAAAGGAACGCTATGTCTGAAAGAGCAAACATATGCCGCTTCAATCCCGCGAGGTTGGCTGACATAACTCGCCTGCTGCACCTTGCATGTGAAGGATGCTTCTGCTGCTCCCACGAAGATGTCATACTAGCCGCCATCAACCACCTCCACGAGCACTTAGTCCCTCTGACCGAGTCTATGCTCCAAGACTATGTCCTCAAGAGGAAACACGACGCCGAGCAGAGCCAATGGCGTCGTCATCATCCGACCCGGAAGACCGGATCTAGGGTTTCCCCCAAAGCATGTCGAGCAAGGGAAGGAGAGGACTGCAACATCAATGCCTCCAACAAGGGGACGGAGCCCGTAGGTGCCGCCATAGACGGCTCCGGCCGCAGCCGGAGTGCGGCTTTCGCCGGCAACCCCACGCGCCCAAATCCGCGACCCAACCAGCTCTTCCAGCAGACCACCTCCATGGCGCACGAGCGTTTCTAGACATCTCACCCACAGAGCATCTCTAATAGCTTGTCTATATGGATGTCTATACTCATTTTCCATCACGTGAGCCCAAAACTAGCGTCCAGCAGCTTGTCTATATGGTCGTTCAAATATACACATCCTCTAAATCAACTTCGACAATGTCCACGCCTACACAATGTGAAGGCGTCGTCTAAACTCAGCCGCAGTCATGATTTTTTCCTCTCCCCAACAACGACTCATCTGTCATGGTCCCTGTGTATAGACGTTCTGATGCAAAACTGGATGTGTATATGAGGAAATCTTTTTAGACCATTATCTATATGAATATATAAACATCCAAATATACACATGCTACTGAAGATGCTCTTAGGCCGCATGCCCGCATCCTCAGGAGGTCGACGACCGACCACCCCACGGATCTGCACCAGGGAGGCCCAAACACGCGAGCAGGTCCGTCCAGATCGAGATCGGCCCCTGTTCGCCACGCCCAGGAGCTCAGGCCAACTCCACCGCGCGACCCTATCCTGTCCGCCCCGGTCCGTTTTAGGGTAAAAGGGACAAAGGAGGCGGCCCAGCGCGCGACGGCCCGGACCCATCCTGTCCGTTTTGTGTCCGGGCCAACCCATTTCGAGCGCAAACTTGCGCCGGGTTTGGGTCGCGGTGGACACCAAACGGACGCGCCCTCGTCCGCGTCGGGGCCACGTGGCAGGCGGCCACCTACCTTCCTCCCGCCCACATCAATGCGCACGGGCGGGCGGCCCCACCTGTCATCCACACATGGAAGGGTCGCCGTCCTTCTTTAAGTGGGAAGCGTGGACCGGTCGTCGTCCACACTGCCCCATGCCACCCCGCGGCCTCCTCGAAACCCGACAGCCCCAGGCCCCAAACCCTAGCCAAGAACTCGCCGGCCGGCCGCCCCGCAGCCATGGGGCTCTGGAACTACGGCCGCAAAGGCAAGCACGACCGCGAGGCTGGCTCCTCGTCGGGGCGTCACCGCGGCTCGATGAAGAAGGAGGAGCCGGCCTCGCCATCGCCACCACGCCGGGCCCCCTCGCCGCCCGCGTTCTCCATCGCCCCCGCGTCCGCCGGCGAGCGCGACCGGCACTACATCCGCGCTGAGGTGTGCCGCCGTTATTGGGAGACGAGGACGCCGATCCCCTAGAGCGACGCCCACCTCCCCAACAACTGGCATTTGTCGGCCGATCGCGTGCCGATCCCGCCGATCCCGGTGACCGGCCGTGCGCGCCGCCAGGAGATCAAGCGCCGCCGCCGCCTCCTCCCGGACGACCACTACTACGACCCCAGGTACGCCCCCGACTCGCCATTGTGGGACACCTGGTTCCGCGATGAGCATGACGCGCAGCGGGCGTCCTATTTCGCCGGCACGTCGATGGGGCCACGGCGGCCACGCCCAGAGCGCCCAGCGGCTGCTCCCCAGGAGCGCGGGCGTAGGGTGGTGCGCGGCCTCACGCCCACGCCGTCGCCATCTCCATCGCCACCACCACCTCCTCGCATGACGGCGGAGGAGGAAGCCCGTCTCGTGCAGCGTGTCATGGAGGACTCCATGCGCACGCACGACGAGCGGCAATGGGACGGCTTGGAGGAGGCCATGGCACTGTCTGCCGCCGGCGACGTGGCCTTCCCGGAGCTGCAGATGGCGGCCTTGACGGAGGAGAGGAGGGAGGACGCCATGGAGGAGGAGCCGGCGGCCGCCTTCCAGCAGCTGGTGGGCACGGGGTGGGCCTGGTCCTGCACTGCTCCGGAGATGGCCGCCTGCCTGGGCGTGGACTGGCGCGCCACTCCGCCGCAGTCACCGGAGCGGGAGGGGTCGCCACGGGAGGAGGTGTTGCAGGCACCTCCCGCCGTCCAGCCCGCCCCCGTCTACCAGGCACCGCACGCACCGCCGGCCCACCTGTGGACGCCGCCGGCCTA